ATATTTAGATTATCGATTCTGTGAGCCTGGCACTGACCTTGAGTTTCTTAGAAGATTTTATGTTAAGTTTCATCTAGAGCCACTGAGAAAAACAAAATTAGGGAGACAACTGAGAGAGACAGTACTTGGCTTTTTTGCAGTTAGTGATGCCTTCCATATTTGGCAAAACTCTGCCCAAGACACTTGTTCTACTTAAGAAAAATGGAATTGGAGATACTCAGTAGAGGGATAATTAGAAAACAGCCCGGCTTCCTTACAGGCTTATCTTGCTGAGGTGAAAGGTTCTAGCATGGCAAGAAAGAGCCAGAAGGGTCCGTGTAGCTGTGTTTAAGGTCTGGAGGATAAGCAGGGAAATGAGTGCTTCCAGAAACAAGGAAATTATTTGATGGATTGTCTAAAGAGAAGTTGAAGCTGAATCTGAGTTTACTTGATTTCCTTGATAACTTTTCATTCTAGTAATGTTAAGGACCATTCCAACCTTTCCAGGAACTGTAACTTCCTTTGAGTGTTCCTTAGTCAAAGATTGAAGAGATTAGGGTTTTCATGGTTTTTGTTTGTTTGAGACAGGATTTCCCTGTAACACTAGCTGGCCTGGAACTTGCTATATAGACTAGGTTTCCCTAGATCTCACAGAGATCTGCCTGCCTCTGATCTTTTAATAACCTTAAGTTCTAGTTGGTAGTGATTTTGAAGTCTTGATGGATTGGTAAGTAAACTTTTTAGCAACTGAGTATTGTTAAATTTGAATACCCTAGAATATAGCGAAGGTAGACCAGAGTATCGCATATCTAGTTTAATAGATGTATTTGGTGGAAAGAACATTGATTCAACTAACTGAAGCCAGATGTTAATTCTCCTTATTAAGTCAAAGTCTTGTTCTGGTGACAAGTTTTTGTATAGTAGCTTTTGATCAAGGTAGGGGATAGAACTCATTACATAGGGTATAGACTGTAACTTTCTGGGACTCTAAAATGATTGAGGAATTAGAAAATCATAAGGCATATGGAACAATTACATATAGATGTATTAAATGTATCTTCAACAATGGCAAACTTTTTAAAAAAATTATTTAATAACCACATAATTAGAAGAAGCATTTCATTACAGCATTAACATATTCAATAACAATCTCCAGAGCAAAGATGCATCTCTTTCAATATTGGCTGTACATTTTTAGGTTCACAGTTGAATTAATACAGTTATGCAATGTTGAACTCAGTTTAAACCATATAAGACATAAAATTGAATGAGGTTTTAACCTTTAAAAATGATCTCCTTTTCATTTTAAAACTACTGTTTCATACAGAAAAATTCATTTTTAATGCTACTAGCACTTAGATGTTTGCACATGTGTCTCTAATCTCTATGTATCTGATTATTACTAGTCAGTCGGTTACTTTCTGAGATCCACCTAAGCATGGATATAAGATCATTGGGTAGATTTCAATGGTCATGTGTTTCACCTTTACTAATTAACATGGAGCAAATTTTTATGCTTCTTCCTCAAATATAACTCTCCTTTTTAAAATTTGTTGATTTTTTTTGGTGTGTGTTTCATACAGAACATCCCAAATAATCTTATTCATCTATATACTCACATCCCAAATGGCACCCTCCCATAGCCTCCCCCCTGCCCCCACTGGAGCCCATATACTCTGTCATCCCTGTTACTCCTTTTATAGTCCTCTTCTCCTTAAGTAATCTGAGCCTGTCTGCATCGCTCCTCCATAGCTATTAAAAACAGCTTTAATTCATGGGGCAGACCTGTGTCTCTTCTTAGGCAGAATTGGCAATTCTATATGTGAAGAACTCAAAGGAAGGTATCTCCTGTCTGTCATTGTTTCTTGTTATGTAGCTTTTAGCTATACACATGGACTCTTTGGCATTTAAGACCATACAGTTGGGCCAGATAAACCAATTTATTTTTACACTTAAGGTCGTTTGAGGATCTGTTCTTCAGGGGTCACATGGACTTAGGAGGAGCCCCTGGCTCCTTTTTTTTTTTTTTTTTTTTTTTACCAGTTCCATCTATGTGAAGATAAGTCAAAGGTCCTACTCGACTGTGGCTGGCTTCACTTGGAAGCATGGCAGAAATGTTTCCCCTGTGTTGACCCTCCTCTTATAGACTGGACACTGGTTTCAGGTCCTTTTGGTGGGGTCTCCATGGCCTCCTTGATCAAGAGGACAGGTGACTCACCACAGTTACAGGACATTTTGAGAGATGCTTATAGTCCCCTGGAGCTTAGTCAACCTAGAAGGGCAAGGAGCCAAAACTGTCCTTTATGTCCCTCTGGCCAAATTAGTACAGGCCTCAAGATATGGCTGTTAGACATCCAAGAAGGTTAGTTCCACTAGTCTGGTACTTTCAATTACCATGTGCTATGTAAATAAAGCTTGGGCAAAGACCAAACATTCTCAGATAAACCTTGCCTAGACATATTCCTTGAGCTAGTTGTATGTATAATTTGTCAGTAGGTTGTTCAATTAATATGGTTCCCTCTGGTTTTTTTTTTAAACTAGTTGGGCATTATTTATCTCTCACATTGTCTAACCCTTCCACTGAGGTTTCCAACAATGGGACCTTTTTGTTTATTATTTTTGTTTTATGTGCATGAGTGTATTGCCTGCATTATGTGTATTGCCCACGGAAATGAGAAGAGGGCATCGGATCCCCTGGAACTGGAGTTATGGACAGTCATTAGCTGCTGTGTGTGTGCTGGTAATCAAACCCAGGTCCTCTAGAAGAGCAGCATTGCTCTTAACCACTAAGCTATCTCTCCAGCCACTGGAATATTTTAAAACTCATAATAATTAGCTTCTAGCTACTATGAAAAGGTCTGAGATCTATAAAAATAAAACAGGTACTATTTTGCACTAGAAAACAATATATTCTGTAGAGGAATGTTTCCTTTTTTAAATTCTTTTCATACCTGTACATATTAAGCTTTCTGCATTTTCACTTCCCATTAACCTTTCTCATTCCTCCCTCTCTGAAGAATTTTAATAGATTATAACACTAACAAAATAGCCTCCATAAAACCAGAGACCGATGATCATTATCCTAATAAGACTTAAAATAAAACATACACATATACAAATGATAAGGTTGAATGAGGACATTGGTTTTTCACTAAGTTGTTTTGTTTTTCCCTGGTGCTTGGAATCAAATCCAGGGCCTCTTGTATCTAGGCAAGAGCTCTATCACTGATACCCTCAGCCCCTCACTAACTCTTAATGTAAAACAATTTTCCATAAATTATTATGACACGAGTCTTCACAAAAGATGTGATTTATCTATGAATTCATAATTTTTGCTTTTCATTTTAGACAGTTGCACTTTCTGTCTACTGTTATGTTTTTCTTTGGGGACAGAATCACTGACAGTGCTGTTTGCCTCTAATCCCCAATGACAGAGGTTAATTCCAAATGATGACGTCCCTTTTGTGATTATATATAGAACTGTATTTGTTGTAGGACGCAAATACTTTTATCTTCAGTTTTCTCTGTGTCATTCTTTCCACATATATGATTGAAATTTATTTATTTAAGTAGTAGTAGCTGTGAAATAAAGCTAACATTTTTCTGAGAATTTCATGATAACCCTTACTATAAATGTACACAAAAACTTTACAGAGCTAAGTTTATGGGTATTAGCTTTATACCCTAGTTTATTGTTTTGATATCTTTTTTTTTTTTGTCTTTTTGGGACAGGGTCTTCCTGTAGCCCCAGCTTCCAGCTCCCAGCTGGCCTGGAACTCACTTTGTAGATCAGGCTGGCCTGGAACTCACAGAGATCCACCTGCCTCTGCCTTCCAAGTTCTGGGATTACAGGCGTGCACCACCATACCCGGATTCAATGCCTTTTTTCGTGTTTTTTGAAAAAAGGATAATACTCTGTAGCTAAAACTGCCCTTGACCTCCCAGCAATCCTCCTGCCTCCCAGGTTCTGGGATTGCAGGGGTGAGCCACCTTACCTGACTTCAGTAATTATTTCATTGAAGAAATTGGTCAAGAAATTTTGCAAAGTACGATTTTCCCCAGATTGGATTCTCTTGGTTCAATTTTTTTGATACATCTACCTTCTTTGTCTATACTGGTGTGTGTGTGTGCGTGTGTGCGTGCGTGCGTGCGTGCATGTGTGCGTGTGTGTGTGTGTGTGTGTTAGGAACCAGCAAATGTCTGTCTCTTGTACTTCTTACCCCTGGTGGCCATTAGTTATATATCAGAGTTTGCTGCACTGTGAAGGACTACATAGTAAATATTTTAGGCTTTACAAGACACAAAGCTTTGCTTTTGTTGGTTTTAGAAATCTTCAGAAATATAAAAAGGATATCAACCTTAGAGGTATATAAAAGCCAGAAGCCAGCCAATGGGGGCAGACATTTCAACTTACTTAGTATTCATAGAGATAAAGGCCTGGAAATTCACCCTTTCACAGGGCCATAGGAGTAGTTAATGGTAGAGGCAGCATAAGAACTCCAAATTTTCAGGCTAGTCATTTCCCTTACTATATATGGAACATAAATTTTACCATTTTCAGTTTGCTGTTCTGATAATTATGTTGACTTTTTGAGCCATTATGAAATCTATATCTTCTTATTCTTTCTAAACTTATTCTTTCTATTCTTTCTTATCTGACTTTCTTTTGTTGATGCCTCTTTGAAGGGCATTTCAGTGATGATTTAAATAAAATGCTTATCCTGAAAATTGGCATGTCTAAATTTGAATATGAGAGATGTACAAATTTCAGGCTATTATAATGGAAGCTTCTTTTTGCTTGGTTATATTTTATGTTGAGACTTTGGCTTTATTTTAAGACTTGTCTTGTCATGTTTTACTACTTGATTTTAAAAGTTGTAAGTGCTTTGGCCTTTGATAGCACTGTTATAGATTAATCTGTTCCAGCATTTTGTAATGTTTATATTTTGAAGTATGTTTTTAAATGATTATATTAAACATTGTTTTCTTTATGCTTAAAATAAAATTATTTTATTTTCCAGGACGCATGGGAATAAATTTCCATCATCCAGGAACAGATAATATTATGGCACTTAACAGTAAGTCTTCACACAAAATGTTCTATAAAAGTAGTGGTCAAGTTTACAATGTGTACTTTCTACCTTTCTTAATTTTTTATTATGTTTCAGTCTTTCATGAAGTATGGTCTAGACCACTATTCCATACCAGCAACTGAGTACAGTTTCTGCATCTGAATTGGTTGGGAACTTACTAAAAACACAAAATCTCAGGCTCTTCTACAGACCTACTGAATGAGAAATTTTAAGGATGGATTTCAGAAATTTGTACATTAACAAGTCATATAGGTGATTCTGACATTAGCAAAAGTTAGAAAATTGAAAATTGCTGCTTTGGCAGAACACAACTCTGTGAACCAAATCACCTAGCACCTACCTTTGTAAATAAAGTCTTAAATCATTAACAGAAGATGTTTCCAGCTCTTGCTCTATACCCTTAGGGCGAAGTAGTGAAAGGAGGGAGTAAGTGGGGAGAGAGAAAGTAGGGTAAAAGTGTGAATGAATAAAGTAAAGTTTCTAGTAACTCAGAATTTTCTCCTTATGGTAAATAACCCATAGCTATTTCTAGATTGGCATCCAGGGTTCTTCCATTGAAATTCGCATGTTATAGATGTCAACAGCTTTGGTCAGAAATAGTTTTTGTCAGTATAATTGTTGAATTATCTTCTAAATCAACAGAAGTTTATTAACCGGAATATCATTAGATTGGTTAATACCAGAAGAGTCAGATGTGGTGGCATGCCTATAATCCCAGCACTTGGAAGGTAGGAGGAATGGGAGTTCAAGATCACTTTCACTATGTAAAGATTTTGAGGCCAGCTACTTGATGTTGTCATCAGAGTGCTGTGCCTCAAATGTAGATGGATATGTTTGTATCTTTGTACAATGTTAGAATTTATTGAATAAATTTACAAGGTTCATCAGTTTTGTTGACTACAACTTGCCAACTAGCTCTGATTTCCTTTGATAACTGCCTGTTGGCAAACACGGGTTGTTTTATTCTGAACTTAATTACTAATATTAACTCTCAGACCCATTACTCATTACATAGTAAATAAGGGATTTCTATAAACATAGATATATGTAGGTTGGAAAAGGGTTCAAGAGGCTGAAGCAGAATTTAAAGAGTTCAAAGAGTACTTCCAGAGAGCTAATGAGGATACATTGAGTGCGATGGTTAGATCTTTTAGAAGGAACTCAGTTGGAGAGCTGCTGAAGGCACACAGCCAAGCCACAGGGTCTCTGGGTTGAGCAGGGCTGCAGAGGTGAGCTTCAGGACCATGGAGGCTGTAGAAGTCGGTTGTAGGACAGGGTCCAATGGCCAAGCAGTGGAGGAACTACAGTTTGAGTATGCTGCATCAGAAGTGGGGCCTAGCTGAGCAGAAGCCCCAGGGGCAGCCAGGATTTCTCAGTCTGTGGGTTCCTTGATGTATAACTAGGTGATCAGGTGATAGAGCAGTGAGGCCATTGCCATCACAGTGTCAAGTGTTCCCTTTATTGAGGCCAGGTGAGAGTGTTGCACTCATCCCTGGTCTGATACATGCCATATATTCGTGGACATGTTTTTTCTGGTACAGTTTTACTATACCCATATGCTCATATGTTCCCAGTATACTTCGATTAATTTTTAGGTGATAGCTTTTTATTTTGTGGACTAAGTTATTATTCTGCACCTTATGGGTACTTGTAAAATGAAGCTGTCCAGAGCAAGGCACAGCCTGAGAGCTGTTGCTTCACAACCTGGAATAATAGAGCAGAGTGCAGTCTGAGCTCCACACCTTGTCTCAGAAAACAAAAGCATAAAACAGAAACACTGTAAAAATACCTGGCTAGTGTCAGCCTGCCTTTCTAGCATCTATAGACCAAACAAATAACTTGCAGAAGAACCTAGAAAGAAATTGTTGTCAGAAGACCTGAGCAAGCCATTGAATCTTCTAGAATTGAAGTTTTCTCCTGTCTAGTTAGTGATGCCAAAATTGTTTCTCTCTTTTTTTTTTTTTTTTGTTTCTTTTGGTCTCTTTGAGACAGGGTCTCTGTGGCCCTAGCCAGCCTGGAACTTGCTATATGTAGAGCACGGAGATCCACCTGCCTCTGCCTCCCAAGTGCTGGGATTAAAGGCATGCACCACCACACCTGGCAAAATTGTCTCCTTTTATTCTCCCAAATATACAGGCCAGTTCTTGATTCGTATGGGAACATATTGAGTAAATGTGGGGTTGTGTATGGTATCCCTCTTTCTTCTTGAGTAAGGAATCTGAATGCCATTAGAGTTTATAATAAATTTTAGATTGTCTTTAAAATATGTATTCCACATTTCCTTGGGTCTGACATGCATAGTGTGCTTGCTACAAAACACTGCTGAGAATCATTGGGAGTGCTCAGTGGTGCAACACCTGATCCATGCCATGCAAGTTTTCTATTTTGCTAGTGTCTTTGGAGAGACTTGTGGCTAATTCAGATTACAAATATATGCCTCTCATTTTTAAATTTATTTTTTGAAAAAATTTTAATTTATTTTAATTGTATGAGTGTTTTGCCTGCATGTATGTAAGTGCACCCTGTGTACAATGCCTGTGGAGGCCAGAAGAGGATGGTCAGATCCCTTGGAACTGGAATTGTGGGTAGTTGTTAGTAGCCATGTGGGTGCTGGAAATAGAACCCGGGTCCTCTTCAAGAGCAGCCAGTGCTCTTAACTGCTGAGCCATCTCTCCAGCTGCCCTTACTTTCTAATTTCTAAAAGAATGGACATTTTAATTATGCTACATATAATTTTTTGGCTGAGAGGAGAATTAGTAAACTTGTTTAACTTGTTGAGCCTCATCAATAATTCTGACTAGACGTTTGTTAGATGATGGAATTTAGAGTTGAAAATAATAGTACGGTAGTATTGTCTGCCTAAAGCACTTAGTATGTATCTGAAAAATAACCTAATTTGACGTGATTTAAGTTGTCCTCTACAAGAGGGACTGGGTAGAATTTCTTACTTTTTGTATAGAAAATGAAATTAAAATCAATTTTCTTTTTAAAATGTTCTGATTATCTTTAATTTGTTTTTCTTTACTTCTCTGCTTTTAAGTAAGATATTTCCTTTAAGAGATTTCTACTTTGTACATGTTGCTTAAATCTTTCTAGCATCAATTTTTCCATCTCTTAAAAAAAGGAGGCTGTTAAGGTAACCTTCCAAAATAATCTTTTTTATTTATTGTGTATGTATGATGTGGGGAGTGTTAGCATTCATGTGCCATAGCGCATGTGTGGAGGTTTTTTTGTTTTTCTGTTTTGTTTTGTTTTTTTGAGACAAGGTCTCCCTGTAGCCCCAGCTGGCCTGAAACTCACTATAGAGACCAGGCTGGCCTCAAACTCACAGAGCTCTGCCTGCTTCTTCCTCCCAAGTGCTGAGATTAAAGGCATGTGTCACCATGTCCGGAGGTTCTTTTCTTTCACCTTTACATGACTCAGTTGCAAGCACTTTACCCACTGTGCTATCTAACTTGCCTATGAGTAGGTAATCTATTTATTTTTTTAAAAAAATTTGGCTGGGCATGGTGGCGCACGCCTTTAATCCCAGCACTAGGAGGCAGAGACAGGCAGATCCTCTGTGAGTTCGAGGCCAACCTGGTCTACAGAGTGAGTTCCAGGCAGCTGGAGCTACAGGGAGACCCTATCTCAAAAAGACCAAAAAA